ATGTAGTATCCCTTCCATGTGTACTGTGATTGAAAATCGGCAAGAGTGTGTGCGTGTGCGTGCGTGCGTGCGTGCGTGCGTGCGTGTGCGTGCGTGCGTGCGTGCGTGCGTGTGTGTGTGTGTGTGTGTGTGTGTGTGTGTGTGTGTGTGTGTGTGTGTGTGTGTGTGTGTGTGTGTGTGTGTGTGTGTGTGTGTGTGTGTGTGAGGCGCGCCTGTTGGCAAGCAACGAAAAAGTGCACCTGAGCATCACGAATAATGTCTGCTTCATCAACCCTTCACCAAAACAACACAGCACGACATAGTCTTGTCACTCACCCTGTAGATGGTGGAACCTGACCAGTAGGGATACCTGTGCAATCAAGCCGACACACCATGGGTGGCAAGCAAGGAATGCAAAATGAACAAGCAGGCATGTGCAATGACGAAGATGCACAAAGATGAAGAGACAGATACATGCACACGCAAACACGATACACACACACTCACCAGTACTCGCGGTGCATGGGTGCAAAGCCACCGCCATGGGAGCGAGTGTTCATGGAGCTGAAACAGGAAAGCAGGGAGCGAAAACAGGCACATAGTGAGTGAATGGGCCGCGTGCAAGTGAGTGCGTGGAAGCGTTCATATATGTATTCAGGTGTGTCAAAACCACAGACCAACATGCAACACGAGCAGTGCAGTTACGAAAGTACAAGTTGTGTCGTTTGTGCAACTCACATCGAAGTGTATGCGTTGACCGTGTCCAAGAGATATGCGCCATCATCAGGCTTCCAAATGTTGTGGGAGATGACCTGAAGCGGCGGTGTGGATTCAGCCGTGTGAATGAGCCGGTTCAAGGAAAACAGCGACCAGCCAGCGGTACTAATACAAGCTATGATGCGCGCACACACAGACGAATGCACACACGCCCACCTGATAGCAGAAGACATCGTTGTCGTTCTGGCTGATGCAAAGGTCCTGTCCCGTAAAAGCCATGTTGTAAATGGTGCGGGCAGTTTGGAACCTGCATTTGGATCCAGCGATGCACGAAAACGTAATCAATAGCCGTAGACGCACACAAGTACGCCATCATGCACCCGTTGTCACACACTCACACGCACACACGCACGCAGCACACACAGCTTCATATGCACACCTGAAGCCATCAAAGGTGCCATCCTCCAGGTTGTGGCGGTAGAAGTACTGCCCCGTGCCGTAGTAAATTTTGTCGTTGACAACAGCAAAGGCACCGTACAGGCTGCTGATGCTGCCACCAGTTAGGTCAAACGTGCGGACCAGCGAGCCGGTGTCCTTGTTGAGCACGTGCACAGTGGATCGGCCGTTCTGAATACAGTACGCGTAATTGCTGTCGGTTGCGATGCCACCCACAGTGGTCTGTGGCTGAGGATAATACGTCCACTGCACGCTCGTGCTGGGAAAGGGACCAATCTTGCGGCAGTATTGGCTATTCCAATTGGCAGTGTAGTAGTACAGGGAGTCGGGCTCGCCCCAGAGTTGCATCATGTTGCTTGAGCTGGTGCCAAAGCCTGTCTTGTACGTGCCATCCTCTGCATATCTGTACACGCTGGAGCCACTCCAGTAGGGGTACCTGCATACGTGTGTGTGCGTGCGTGCGTGCGTGCGTGCGTGCGTGTGAGTGTGAGTGTGAGTGTGTGTGGACGTGAACGCAAAAACGACATTCAGGAAACCAAACACATTGTCTCCACCTTCTCTTCAACGATTACATTCATCCTCACCAGAACTCGCCGAGTCGAGGCATGTATCCTCCGCCATGGCTGCGCGTCTGTAAACCAGAGAAGGAGCAGCAAAGTAAGGGAACGCAGAATCAGTCCGAAGGAATCACAACATGCAATGCACCCACGAACACACACGTACACACGCATGCGCGCACACACGCAAGCTTACACGCAAACACACACAACTCACGTTCATGTTGATGTGGCGGTGAGCGGGCTGCTGGGTGATGTGCTGGTTGATAATCTCGCCAATGCATGCGCCAGCCTCGCAGTGGTCATACACGGTTTCGTCGTTACCGTCGTCGCATGTGGAGTTGTCGGGCTTGTTGGTGTACGTGCACACGCCAAACTCACAGCGCGGGTCATCCTGGCAGGGCGAGGGAGGCGGGCACGTCATGTGAGTGCAGCCGCGGTCGGCGGAGGGCACGTGGTAGATGCGATAGCCAACAATGTCGCCGTTGCTGCCCGGTGTGCTGGCACTCATGGCGTCCCAGGAGAGGTTGAAGGTCGTGGCAGAGGTGTCGTCCACGCTGAGGCCCGCCGGTGCAACCGTGGGCAGGTGCGGACGCGTCTTCTCCGTGGTCATGAAGGAAGCGGTGCTGCGGTCACCGTCCAGGCCAATCGTGTACACGAGCACGACGTACTCCGTGTTTGGGGTGAGGCCCGTGATGGAGGCCGTGAGCTGCTCGTCGGGCGAGTCACCGTCCTGCCACTGCTTGGGGAAGCGGACGGTCACCACTTCGTCCGTGGTGCTGCCCGGCACGGGCGTGGCCACGAGGTCAAAGCCAATGGCGGGCGCGTTGCGGAACCAGATGCCTGCAGGCACGGTCCACTGAACGATGACCTCGTCCGCGTCTGGCGGGTAGGTCATCGGGTCCACAGGTGGGAGGGACGTGGTCACGGAGCGCGGCTGGCCGGACGGGATGCTGTTTGGCGGGTCGACGGAGAGCATGGCAAAGGGGCCAAAGCCCTCGGCGTTCTTGACGGCGACGCCGACATCGTAGCCAGAGAACGGGAACGAGAGCTCGTTGGCCAGGGTGTAGGAGAAGGTGCTCGAGGACACCTCCACGTCCGTGGCGTCGAGGGTGGCGTTGCCGTAGGCCCACGTCGGGGGCTGCGGAGCCGTAGGGCGGATGCGGATCACGTAACCGGTGATGGCGCCGTTGGTCGTGCCGGGGTCGGGCGCTTCCCACGAAACGGCAAACGCGCCACCGGGTGTGGGCGTGGTCGTCGGGTTCCTCGGGGGAGCAGACGGGACCTGCGTGTGTGCAGGAGGGGTGCGTGCAGGTGTGTGTGTGTGTGTGTGCGCGCGCGCGCGCGCGTGTGTGTGTGTGTGTGATCAAAACGCGTGAGCGAAACGAGAGTATGCTCGGAACTGGTTTGCCACAGACGCGCTGGTCGCCATGACATGGCTTGTGACAGGACACCATCAACACGGCAACAGCGGTCGAAACGCCAAGTGTGTAAAACACCGACACTTACATCACGCCGGATGCGGGCAAAGGAGTCCAAAGAAGAAGCGGCTGTGGCACTGCACATGCACAAAACGCACACGAGTCAGAAAAGGATACAACCGCAGACACACGCACACATATTCATGTCAAACACAAACACCAAAGCAGACATCATCAGCAATGAGATCGTGTGTGTGTGGCACAAGAGAAGTGTGGATTGCAGCAACGTCGAGGGAAGAACCATTCAGGGAATCACGGTGGTGGAGTGTGTCGCATGATGCCAAAGAGACGCATATTGGGGGGGGGGGGGAAGTCGCGCGTTTTGATCCCTTTCACTGAACCTTACCTATCTCATTTACGCCATTAGCAGTGCCACAACCCACACAACCACGTTCACCACCATCACGATCACACTCAGAACCCCCCCCCCCCAGATGCAGCATCCACATACCTCTGGGCCAGGGCGAGGGTGCAGGCGAGGGCCACCACAAGAACCTGTGATGGCGCCCGCCAGCGAGGGCGCTGCGGCTGCGGGTGTTGCGGCGACATCGCCGACCTTTGGCTGTTGTTCCTTGTTGTTCCCCTTGGGTTCTTGTTGTTTCTCGCGCAGGATGGCTTGCTTGCTGGCTTGTTTGGGTTCGCTTTGGCTTGGCACAGCAACAGCTGAGGGAAATGTCGTGAATGTGGTCAATCAACAAACAACAACAACAACACAAACAACACAAACAAACAAAAGAAACCTCAAGCAAGGCAAGCTACAAGCAAGCGGTGGCTGGTTGAACGTCACACACAGACCTTCCTTCAACACTCGCACGACAGCTATCCTCTGCCTGCAAGCAAGCAACAAAACCAAAACAAAACCACAATGCGCACAACAACAACAACAACAACAACAGCTTCTGAGCTGCTGCTGATAATAAAGCAGGGGGATCTGGGGGATGGCGTGGAAAAACAAACAAAACAAACAAACCCATGGGAAATAAGTGGGGCACGCAGTTGCGCAACTGGCACCAGCGCCGAAAACGGCAGAGATATCACGGCATTGTTTGCTTTGTGTGGCTTGCTTGGTTTGCTTCACTTGTTGTGGCATCCGCTGCAGGATCATCGGCTGAAGTTTTGTTGTTGCGGCTTTGACTTGTTATTGTTGCTTGCTTGCTTGACTGGTTTGGGCTGAGGACAGCAGTGTCATGTCATGTAATTTTAACACGGAAATCAAAACAACGCCGTTTTTTTGGTGCGCTGCCGCGACATCCCCAAATCGCGGATTTGCGAGCTGGGAAGGAAACTTCATTGAAGCTATTGCTAACTCCATGGTGGCGAATAGTTGCGTTGACTGCCCTCGACAACGGTGGATAGCACACATGTTTGGGCTTAGTGCGCACAGATCGCGCCTTTTGCGCCAACAGCACAAAGTGTGTTTTGTTCGTGGCGCGAAATTCAAACCTGCGGTCATGATGTGGTGACATGATGTGACATGAACGCAGCGCGCTGCCACACACCCCCCCCCCCCCACACACACACACACACACACACACACGAACACGCACACACACACACAGCTCGAAGCTCATATTCTCCACATTTGCCCTTGTGATGTGTACTGCTGTGTAATGTAACTGCTGGCAAGAACAAAGAGGTGCAAAGAGGTGCAAGAAGCACAAAGAGATAACCAACGAGGAACAGCACTCGACGAGCGCTTACCCGAAAAAAAAAACACCCCAAATCCAAGCTTATCATCAATCAACAGATCAAGCAAAACACATGTAGACCCCTCACGCTTGGCCAAGCCAAACACTGCAAACCCCTTGAAACCACCCAGCCACAAGCACACATTTCACTCAGCCAGCACCAGCAGCACAACTAACGAAACCCGTGCGACGCAGAGTCAGAAGCATGCGAGCATCGTCACACGCAGCATGCGTTAGTTAAATGTCGTACTCCTCGTCGCCCCACCGGTGTAATGCAAAGGACGTCGGCTGCCGCACAACATCATATGCTGCGTCTGCATTCGCGTTGAAGTTCGTTTCACAGTACCCCGACTGGAGACCATCGCAGCGTGCACGCAGCCGTGGCGTGCCACCGCGCTGGCTTGCTGCCTGCGTGTCATACGTGGTGTCATCCCACGCGTGCTGTGCCCTGACAACCGGCACAGCAGCTGCGGCGCCGTCGCCTGTGCTCGGAGTGAACAGCGGGTTCTCATACAGGGGCATGTCTGTCGCAAGATGTCACAGCACAGAACACGACATTTGTTGGTGTAAGACACGCTGCTCATCGCAGAAACTCACAAACTCGCGTCAAAGTGTTCCACACAAGACTTGCACAACGAGCAAGTACATGGGCGGTTTGAGCAAGACTGTACAGGCACAGATGCAGATCAAAACATCGGAAAGACACACGCGATGGCTTGCAATCGCCTGCCAATACCTGATTGCTGTTGGCCTCGTGCTGAACTTGTTGACTGCCATGATAGTGAACGCGTTGGATGTGAGATTGTGTCAGTGAGCAGCTTCTCATAAAACACACACGCGCCCAGAGCAACCAACTCTTCGCAGACACACCGAACACACACACACACACACACACACACACACACACACACACACACACACACACAGCAGAAGCGAAGGGTGAATGGGTACATGCATATGCCCAAAACACATCGTGCGCCGACGCGCACATACTCATTTTGTGCACACCTTGAGCTGAATGCGGTTGCGACGCATGCGCACAACAAGCACAAGAAGTGTGACCACTAAAATTGCAGCGACAGCCACACCCACGGCAACAGGCCACGCGGCCACAGACCTATATGCACAGCGAAATGCCAAAGAGAAAGCACATATTGCGAAGCATGAGAACATGTGTCTTGCATATTCCTCGATACGTGCCTGCCAGTCTCCACCCGCGTTGGCGGTCGAAATGTTGCTCAAACACACACACCGCACACATACACACACAGAGCAAATAAACCACACACACACACCGCACACACACGCACATACACACACACACACGCACACGCACACACACACACACCGCACACACACGCACATACACACACACACACACGCACGTGTGCGGATTTCCGGCTGGTTGGGAAGCAGTGAAAATGGGTGCTGACGCAGAAGTAGACGTGGAAACAGGAGCAACCATCGTGGAGACAGTTCCAGGAGCGGCTGCAACACTTGTCGCAATCACACGCCGTCCAAGGACTTCGCCATCAAGAAGGCCTGCTGCCACAAGCCGGTGTACAGCTTCAGCGGCATCCTCCGCTGTCAGTTGAGCATCGCGAGAAACTGCAACGTAATCATGCAACGCATCACACACCAAGTACTGTGAACCTGCTGTGCACTTTGCAGTGTGGAGCAAAAACTCTCACAAGAACACCGACAGGGGCTGATGTCAAGCCCTGGCACTGAACACACACACACACACACAGCACAACACACGCGCGAAGAGACTAGGCACTCTTGCGCATGCAAACACCTCAACACACGCACAACATATTGCCAACCTGGTCCGTCAATACTCCCGGGAACAAGTTGTGGTTGGCTGGCAAGAGCTCGAACCCGGCTGGCGTTTACAATGATCGCTTCCACAAGGTTGTTCCGCACCGTCACAGACACGGTGGGCACGCGTGCAGCATCCAGCGCCGAAAGTGCAAGAGGATAAGCTGCAGCCGCATCAACAACCTGGAACCGAAGCTCGTACCGGTCATCCGGCACATCAAAGTCCGCGCCAGGGCTGCCAGCAATCACAGCAGGGTCGCTCACCCCACCAAACCCAACCGTCACAGACACCTGCGTGTGCATGTGGGTGGTTCGGGTGTTGGTGATGATGAGGTAGGTATGTGGTGTATGTTTGTTGTGCATGAGCTGTGGATGAAAGCGATTCAGCACGTGTATCAGCGCACATGCATGTGTGTTGCTGCCAGTAGACATGCACCACAACAACACG